GTGTTCGGAATGACATACACAAAAAATGACATAAAAACCACATTTGTTGCTCTATTTTCAAAATTGTTGGTGTTCCTGAGAGCTTATTGAATTCCCTGTCCATTCATATTATGATTCTGACAATAATAACATAGGTGGCAGTATATAGGCTAAAAATGTGAAAAAAATGGTTTTTTTTATTTGTTTTGGTGGCCATTTTGAATACTTAATGAGGTCACATGACATAAAAATTAATTATCCACATTTTTTTTCTACTATGTGTCCTAATTAAGAAAATATATAATTGTTTATGTTTAAAGCTATATATTAGAGCAGTATTATTATTTTCCTGAAAAGTGTCAATTTAATTTTTTTTAAATAGGGGATAGTACAGGTTATTAATATGAATCTGTGAGAAATTTAAAGCACTTTAATATTAATCTGTGTGAAATTTAAAGTACTCTAAAATATTATTCTGTGTGAAATTTATATCACTTTAATTTTTTAATCTATGTGAAATTACAGTACAGGTTATTAATATGAATCTGTGTGAAATTTAAAGCACTTTAATATTAATCTGTGTGAAATTTAAAGTACTCTAAAATATTATTCTGTGTGAAATTTATATCACTTTAATTTTTTAATATCTATGTGAAATTTAAAACATTCTAATATGTTTTCTTGTTTTTACAATACTATTTTTTTCATCCATAGCTGGGTTTTGTTTTCGTCCTCAGCAAATCAAACAACGGGGATAGTACAGGTTATTAATATGAATCTGTGTGAAATTTAAAGCACTTTAATATTAATCTGTGTGAAATTTAAAGTACTCTAAAATATTATTCTGTGTGAAATTTATATCACTTTAATTTTTTAATCTATGTGAAATTTAAAACATTCTAATATGTTTTCTTGTTTTTACATGACTATTTTTTTCATCCATAGCTGGGTTTTGTTTTCGTCCTCAGCAAATCAAACAACGGCAGCAGAGTCCATGAAGAAGAATAAGGAAGAGCTGAAAGCAAGAGGTGAAAAATTTACTGGATTACTTTTTCATTTGAAATGTATTTATTTAATTTTTCTTTATAATGTATTTTAATATTGAATCAATTGTAAGTGTATCTGGAACACCTAATAGATGACTTGTTAAACGCTTTTCTTTCTATTTCGTTGATATCAGAACACAGATGATGAGGAGGCGGAGCTAAGTAAATACTGTGTCATCTGGTCTGTCAAGAGTCATCAGACATTTTCAAAGATTTTCTAATAAGGTATGATCAATTGTTTGATTTGTGTGTTAAGAACTATATCATGTGATTCAATCTTGCGTAATCATGATATATAGTTTTTTGTAATACTTGACCGAGTTACTTCAAATTCAATATTAAGTATGAACAATTAAGGAATTAATTGAATCAATAGACCCTCATAAACTCAACAAACTGAACGTTTAATAGGAATATTCTAGACCTGTTTTAAAGACTCAAGGAACACATTTAGATGTAGGCCTACAGCCAGGCAAGAGGCCGCCCAGGCCTCCTCCTAGTACTAGGCCTGTCCAACCTAGTTATGATATCATCGCACGATTTTACCTGTCATGCACCGACCAAAGAGGTCAGTGACTGTATTCTCTCTCAAATGCTGAAAAATGTTTATTTCTTTGACGAAAGTCTATCAAAATAGCATTACAAACAGTACAATAATTATTCATCGTATCCATACTGTACTGCTGATGTGTAGTTAATTAAACGCGTACAGCAGGAGCAAAAATCAGCATATGCTCAGCTAAATATAAGTACGCACACGTATACTGATCATATCACTATAGCAACAGTTGGTTATCAAAAACTATAATGAAAAGACGGCGATTGACTTATTAAGCAATTAGTAGAGCATGCATCATACGCTGATGGAAAATTAGGTTACATTTAATGCATTCAAAAATTTCCTTTAGGCCTTGCAGGCCCTCAGCAAATTTTTGCAAGCATTGAATCCAACCTCTGTATAATAATTTTCCTATAGTGTACTATGCGGAGCTCTACTAATTGCTTATTATACTTACATACGTATCAGATTCAGATAATTTTACACATTAATATCTATAATAATAATTTTTTTTATCTGAACCTGATACGTATGTACAGTATACGTATTAGGTTCAGATAATTTTTTTTATCAATTAATATCTATAAATTTATTGGTTGAATACAGATTACATTTAAGATGAATGCAAACTAAAGCTAAGCTTAACTACTAAATCATTTACAGTATATCCTTTTTATGATGATGAAATAATAAAATGCTTACCACCCCCCCCCCCCCCTAATTTTAAATATTTCCATATTTCCTTGTCCAACCACTTTGAATCAGTATTTTTAGGCAGATTCAAGTTTGTAAGGAAGATTAAATATATACCAGAATAATTCATTTAATGGATATGAATGTCTGTCTGGTGTGTTTATAATATACACTCTGTTGTGAGCTTGTTAGGTTTTTTATACAGAAAAACAAAAAGGAAATATACAGGAATTAAAAAAAAATAAAGAAAACATGCAAATATCAAAATTTATGAAAATCAAAGAGATACAAGTTGATAGACTACAAAAAATAGAAAGATTGAAAAGTAAAATATTTAACATCCATATGCAAGAAAATAACATGTATATGCATGATATGATTAAAAACTTACACTACAAAAATATAAAATTATAAGATCAATAGTGTGTGATTCAAATTTGATGAGAACTACACTGAAAACAACTGAGGTTTGCAGATTATAGTATTATTGTTTAACAGGTTTATAATCATTATGCCAACTTTAGTATTCAATAATTATTTTAAGTTTAAGATCCATATCTTAACTCTATGTGGATGATATGAAATAATGGATATGTAGATATTCCTACACTTATAAATTGGAATTGTTGAAAACACACAAGTGAAGCAAGTGGACTGTCAGTATTTAATAATTGAATATTTTGACTGTTTTGTCACCACGATTTGCTACTGCAAGTCTCCTTGGATGATATGAAATGATGGATAATCCCTCTGGATCGTTGATTCCATCTTCTGGTTTATCAATTCTTTTTATAAAATTTCCATCACTACTGAATAGCTGTAGTTTGCGTTGACTTGATATAATGATGTTGTCATCCTCATCAACTACTACTGCACTTGGAGAATTTACTTTACCATCCTCATCACCTGCTTCAACAAGGACTTTTATGAACCTTCCCTCATTATTAAATAATTGTAATCTACTGTTGACATACTCCAATACAAGAAGGTGTCCTTGGTTAGTAAGAGTAACATCAATGACAATTATCATTTGACCTTCTTTTGTACCATGTGACCCTATTGTTTTGATGGTCTTGCCATTATTCATGTCAAACATGTACACACAGCTACTGAACCCACCACTTGCTGCATACAAAACATTTGATGTCTCATCCACATGAATGCTCCGTGGTGTATTCTGTACTCCCACACTAATTGTTTTAATCAGCTGACCATTCATATTGCATATTCTGATAGGTTTATTAACATTGCAATCACTGAATGCTATGTTACCATTCTTCATTTTGTACATTCTGCTAACATTCACACCTTGTGGTAGTGTAACCTTACCAATATATTCTCCTGATTGCTTGTACTTGAGCATTTCATTTGTCAAACATGAAACCAGTAAGGAGTCATCTTCACACTTAACTACATCTATAATATATGTTGCATTTATTTGAATAGTATTTACTAATCTTCCCCCTTCTACTTTGATTGTCATTGGTGATTGGTTAATTGGTTCATCATCAGCACTCACATCTAGTTTACAAACTCCTGGACTTGTGCATTTTCCTGTCACAAAATAATCTCCATTGTCATCTTCTTGAATTTGAGAGATGTTGGTTTCCCCTGTAGGCTGTGTCCATGTTGCATTCAGTTGATTTGCATATATTTCATGTTCATCTGTTTTGATTATTTTGACAATAATTGTCTGTTCTTCGATCACAGATTCCTCTCCTTTTAATGTTAAACAGTCTGCTGCCCTAAAATCTTTTACAGTCCCTATAGCACATTGTCTCAATGAAGTCATTTGCTGTTTGTTTATGAAATAGTAAATTTCTCCATTATCATCTGGCTCTGTTTTTGGTAATTCATTTATTCTGTCCCTGAGTGCTGTAATTACTGTTTCACTTGACTGCATTGCAGTGCCTTCATCACTCTTCAATAATTGATTAAGAAAAGACAGTTTTGTTTTTATATCGGATAATAT